CATGGGATGATTTCAATAAAGACTATGATGATGTTGATAAAAATATGTCATTTACAACAACACTTGGTTTTACACCAATTCGTGTTCTTGTTTATCAATGTTTTTAACACACTAATTGACTTATTATTTAACTAAGTTGATATATTCTTTTCAAACTATTTCAATTTTCAGAACTACACAACAAAATGAATTAATTCAATCTAACCACATAATCATATGAATAAATAATGAATAAATTTAAATCATTTTATGAACAATTAAAGTATATGATGTTGTGAATATATTCAAAGTATAAATAGAAAGGTAATAGTAGAAATAAGAGATTATTCACAAAATTGGTATTGTAATAACATATAACTTATCTACAACTTAATAATACTCATTTCATATCAATAAAATACAACAATTATTATTAAAAGTTAAGTAACAAGAGTTCCATTTAATGGTTATTAAATTCTAGTCACAACATTCATTAAATTTTCTCTAGAAATAAACACATTTAAACAATGAATATATTTAGAAATAATCTTTGGATATTACTAATAATTTATTTAATACATTACATATCATTACAATATTATAGTCATTACAATTATAGTAAAATTAGCTTAAAACTATGTAAAAAGTTGGTGTAATGATGAAAAACGTAGTATTATGTAATGGTACTATATTTACAAAAAATGAATGATTTATTAATTAACAAAAAAGAATAATCTACAATAAAAATTGAACAAAAAAACAAAAATAACAAAATCAGATTGACTATTAATATATTGATAATTTCCTTGAACAAAAAACTTAGAACTACACAAAAATATCAATTAGTCAAGAAATAGAATGGCTATTGGATAATGTCATTTTTAAATTAATATGATTATGTTTTTTAAAGGATGGTTGATACATCTTTCTATTAAAATCAAATAACTGTTTATGTTCTACTAAAACAAGAATTTCAACGACTAATACATTGACTAAATTTGTTATAATAGTTTTTTATATTAACTATCTGTAAAAGATACAATAAAATAGATGTTTATAGTGGCATTATTTAATGATGAACTTAAATAAGGATAGTAATGATAAAGATTATTCAAATAACAATAATATTTATAATTGGTTTTATTAAAACGTAGTAACAATTAATTACAATTATTATGTTCTTTTTAATAATTTTCTTGTAAAAACCAGTTAATTTATAATAAACAATACAGCCATTATTGACTAACTAGACATTTAGATATTTTTATAAAATTAAACAAATCATTTTTCAGATTTTTAGTTAATTTTATACAGAACTTTTATTTATTTTTAACTTCTTTATCTTTACAATAAATTAGGAATGATTTAGAATAATTGGGTTGTAGACTTTTTTATTTTTAAGAATATGTTTATTTATATGATCAATATTCAAACAGAAAATAATTACAGAAATATTACTTTGCTTTTTCTCAGTGAGTTTTCGTATAAAACATGTGGATTTTAGTTATTATTAATATATATTAACACACGTCTAGTTAGTGATTAAGTGAAGGATATTTATTGCTCAATTGCTAACAAAAAATAACTAACAAACCAAAATTACAAAATATTGATTTTATATTTCCATATTTTTAATAAAAAGATTTTGTGGTGTGTTTTGTTGGTTATGTGATTAGTTCAATGCATAATAATTAATTTGATATATACCTTTCATGCTAATTCAAAATAATTTTGCTCATGGCAAAATTGAATCAAATAACAAAAAAATTGAATAGTCATTGTTTTGATTAATAAATATATAAAAAGATTAAAAACACATTAGCTTTATTTAATTATAATGGAGAGTAGAATGAGAAATGTGTATGTATAGAAATCATTTCAATAATATTTTTTGGTAACAAAAAGATAAATAAAGAATTTTCTTCATTTTTTAAAGAATATTTCTCAAAAACATATTTTTAATAATTATTGAACATGACTCTGAGAAACTTATTTTATTAATAAAATATACAAAAATAGTATTTAGAATATTTTCTTTAATAATGTTCAAATATTCTAATTGATATTCATTCAATTTCCTGTTTTATCCATAAACAAAGAAAAAGGACAAAAATATTCAGAATATTTATAAGATTTTTTTGGTCCCAAGGAATAGAATTAATACAAATACACAATCATACATAAAATTTTGATGAAAGAAGAAAAGATTCTATTGAAACTAGACAGAAGATAGGAATGATTTTTAATAGTATTGTTCTCATTCACATGATACTGTATTTTATTATTTAAACTTGTTTCAATACAGCAAATAATATAATTAAATTTTGTAACTTGAATTGTTTTGTAAACAATGTTTAATAAAAAAAAATAAAATTTCAGTATTTATCTTAGGAACAACTTTTAAGAGATATTACTTCCAAAAACCCTTCCTTATTATATAAACGGTTGCAACAAATCTTATTCTTTAAAAGAATATAATCAATGCGGATAAAAATGTCAGTCATTTATATTGTGGGAATGTCCATTTTTTCCTTAATCGTTATTGTAAACATTGCTTATATGATTATTAGACAACCAAAAAGAGTCATTCAATTACATAAAAGAATAATGACAATGCCTGAGATTAAAACAACATATAAAGACGAAATATTTGACTTATCTCATTTTAACTATGATGGAGAATGTGGAAAACTTTTTAAATATAAACCCAACAATCAGAGAGACTTATTAATTTATGGAGTATATTTTTCAGATAAACAAAAATGGTTTAAACAAAAACATACTACTATGAAAGCACTTTCACTAAATCAGCATGGAATTCCAAATGCTAAAAAGGTTTTGATGTTAGGTGGAGAAGTTCCAGAAGTCAACTTCACTTCCTTAATGAAATCAAAAGGAGTAGATGTTATTCCAGTAAAAGTCGATTCATTATATAATGGAGCTGTTCTTAGATATTTTGTAATACAAAAATACCTTGAAGAAAACAAAGAAAAATATGATAGGGTGTTTGTTGCAGATCTTAGAGATGTGTTTTTCTTTGAAGACGGATTTTCTACCTTTTCAGATAAACAATTATATTTAAGCAACGAGTGTTCTAGAACTAATAAGGGTGATATAAAATGTGCTTCTCTAGCATTGAAGATAACAAAAATATGGATGCAAAAAAGTATTAATAAAGAAGTTGCAGAATTATATGCAGCAAATAAAACTAAAATTATAAATTCAGGAACAATTTTTGGTGGAACTGAACATGTTCTTCGTTTACTTCAAATATTTACTTCTCATTTTAATTACCAAAGAGTTAATATATGGGGATATGATCAGTCATTATTAAATTATTTATATTATAGCGGTCAATTTAACTCATTAAATATTACGGTTGCTAATTGTGATCAAATGTTTTGTTTTGATATGAGAAATGGTTGTTATTACAATAAAAAAGAAAAGTCATTAATAATGAGAGGTTCTAATTGTTCACCAATTATTAGACATAAAATTGTCTCTAAAAATCCCTATTTTGACTTGTCCTAAGATTTATCATAAAAATCAATTAAACATTAATTTATACAGTTGATTTAAGCATGTTTTTTATTATTATTTTATAATTTTTAAAGATTTTTTTCAAAATTT